GGAGTCTGGCTTTGTCATCCACGCTGGAGTGCAGTGGCGCAATCTCAGCTCACTGCAAGCTCCGCCTCCTGGGTTCACACCATTCTCCTGCCTTAGCTTCCTGAGTAGCTGGGACTACAGGTGCCTGCCACCACATCTGGCTAATTTTTTGTATTTTTAGTAGAGGCGAGGTTTCACCACGTTAGCCAGGATGGTCTTGATCCCCTGACCTCGTGATCCACCTGCCTCGGCCTCCCAAAGTACTGGGATTACAGGCATGAGCCACAGCGCCCGGTCAACTACTCATAATTTTTAAAAGTCTCCATTATTAGTCAAATTAGGCTAATAGCTCTAGGAAAGTTGTGAGAATATAAACCTAGCAAGGGAGAGAGACATGATCACTGTTCTAATCAAGCCTCTCTTGCTCAGGTGATACGCTCTTGATGCTAATTTTTCAATATGCCTCATATGCCAGAACTGTAGACTCAAAACGTCTAGAATTAAGCACAAATGATGCAGGCACTCAAGGCTCTGATACAGGAACACGAAGTGAATAAATTATTGAAATCCTGGTGCTTATATTTTTGTGAGAAAGGAGAGGGGTTGAAAAAAATGGTAAGACTGGTTTATAAGAAGGAAATAAGCACTTTGAAGGAAAGTAAATGATAGTATGAGATAATACGGAAGCTGAGGGTGTGTGTATATGAGGGTGGCGACATCAGTGAGTGAAGAAATGTCACCATTGGTCATTTATATTTCTACCTCTACTACGTCTTCAGCACTATTCAGGAACTGCTTAAGTGTGGATGTAGATAGTGCATAGCAATATAGACAGTCCTGCCTTTTTGAGGTTAACAATAATGATTCCCCATAAACATATAGGTATGGTTTATCATCATTTTTGCATTGGTTAAAAGTTTTAGTGCAATATGTGATCTTGACTTTGGACATGGGCATCTGGAACCTGGAGGTAGGTGCACCACTGCATAGGGTGTGTGCTAGAACCATGTCAGATCCCTGTTGAGACATCTTACGTGTTCTGCCCCTCAAGCCACAGGGGGCGGAGCCTGAAGTTATATCCAGTTAGGGACGCCAGGATGGCTTCTTACTTATTGACCAATCAGGCGCTTCTCAGAGCCCTGTCTGCCCCCAACCTTACCCCACCCTGTATGATCTTGTGAATTTTCTTTTCTTGCGCTGGCTGCATTACCTTTCTCTTCTGGCTTCTGGCTTCACTGCCTGGCTCTGTGCTCTGCGCTGGCCGTGGCAGCCGGAGGGAGGACCCAGGAGACCCCGGAAGATGGGAAATGGCGAGTATGGGAAATGGCAAGTGTGCAAGGGCCCAGGGTCCAACATGGCTGGAGGGGCCCAGGCCTCTTCGCCGTCAGCATCCGATTTTGTTTCCTCTGAGTTGCTCAAATGTGTGGGAAGCAGGGTGTGAAATCCACTTCCGAGCTCCCCACCCCCAGCCTAACTCTCCTTGATCTGGCAGCAAACTCCTAAATTGTAGGTATAATTTCCGCAGTCCCCAACACCAACCTCTGTTCTTGAATGCACAGTGTTATCAACTATTTGTCTGGTTTATTATTATTATTATTTTTAGATGGAGTCTCACTCTGTCGCCCAGGCTGCAGTGGCGCAATCTCTGCTCACTGCAACCTCCGCCTCCTGAGTTCAAGTGATTTTCTTGCCTCAGCCTCCCCAATAGCTGGGATTACAGGTGCCTGCCACCACGCCCAGCTAATTTTTTTTGTTTTGTTTTGTTTTGTTTTGTTTTTTGGAGACGGAGTCTCACTGAGTCGCCCAGGCTGGAGGGCAGAGGCGCGAGCTCAGCTTACTGCAAGCTCTGCCTCCGGAGTTCTCGCCATTCTCTTGCCTCAGCCTCCAGAGTAGCTGGGACTACAGGCGCCCGCCACTGCGCCTGGCTAATTTTTTTTTGTATTTTTAGTGGAGACGGGGTTTCACCGTGTTAGCCAGGATGGTCTCAATCTCCTGACCTCGCGATCTGCCTGTCTCGGCCTCCCAGAGTGCTGGGATTACAGGCGTGAGCCACCGCGCCCGGCCATTTTTTTGTATTTTTTAGTAGAGATGGGGTCTCACCGTGTTGGCCAGGCTGGTCTCAAACTCCTGACTTTAAGTGGTCCACCCACCTTGGCCTCCCAAAGTGCTGGAATTACAGGTGTGAACCACCACGGCAAGGTATTTGTCCTTCGTTCTCCATTAGAGACAGGTGTCATATTTTAAATTTATCATTTTTACAGAAAGCAGTGGATGACTGTTTTATAAAGATTTCTTTTGTGTTTGTGACCTTTTCGCCTGAGAGGTAAGCAGAGAATAACCACCTGAAACTCCATTGTTGAAAACCTTTGTGTCTCTCCTTTATCTTCCCCAAGTGCAAACCCTTATCAGAATGCCTTGGCGTTTAGGTTCCCCTTTGGAAACTTTGCAGGGTTGATTGTCCTCAGCCTGCCCTCTCTTCTCCTGGTCCTGGGGTTCAGAACTGACTGGGGCTGCCCCAAGAAGGCCATAGCTTCCATGTCTCTTGAAGGGTCTAGTGAGTATCAGTTCATGTGGCCCCTCATGAGCTGGATACCCGCTGGATGCGTTGGGCCTGGAAGCAGTGACATGGTTTACCCTTCCTCTGAAAAGCTCACCCGTTGGGACACTCAGCTTGTTTTTCTCCAGCCCCAGTTTTCATTCTTTGGAGACACGTTTGTGGTCAGCTAATTGGATGGAGATATTGAGGGGAAAGACAGAAAATGATTCTTGCCCTCTGGATTCTTTCAGAGTACTTGAAGCGAGAAAAATGATCCCAAAAGACAAAGAAAACCCACCTCTGCCAGGTTATGCAAGAACTTGAAAAGCAAAATGCACTTAGGCATGGGAGTGGGGGCACAATCCACTGTCTCTGGGAAGGGTCAGTGAGCAGCACCAGGATGGGGGTTGGGGAGATGTCCCATGTGATAGGATGACCTGACTGGGCAGTTAAGTCAGATTTATCTGTGTTCCAGGTCAGCAGTGGCTTTCCCTGCTTTTGTCACATTAAGAAGATTTGTTTACGTACTTCATCATGTAAAATGTATTTTACCATTAAAGCTTGAAAGTTAGGCTAAAATATTTCCAAAGAGATAAGAGGTGGATCTCAGAAAAATAAATATCTACCCTTATATTTGTTAAAAATTTGTATTTAATTTTTTCCCCCCAGAAAAATATGCAGTAAGTTTCTCAGTCTGTTCTTTTTTGTGATTTTGTTGTTGTTTTTGTTTGTTTATTTGTTTGAGACACAGTCTGGCTCCAGGCTGGAGTTCAGTGGCACAATCATGGCTCACTGCAGCCTCCACCTCCCTGGTTGAAGCAGTCCTCCCACCTCAGCCTCCTGAGTAGCTAGGACCATAGGTGCAGACTACACGACTGGCTAATTTTTTGTAGAGATAGGGTTTCACCATGTTGCCCAGGCTGGTCTCAAACTCCTAAGCTCAAGTGATCCTCCTACCTTGGCCTCCCAAAGTACTGGGATTTTAGGCATGAGCCACCGCTCCCAGCCCCTTTTTTGTGATTTCAAATAGAATCCTAGAGTTTAGCCTTGAGAAGGCTACAGAGAGAAAAAGCTCAGCGAAATAGGGAGAATCACTCTTCATTATGGCTTCACATAACTGAATCTATCTATGTATCTATGTATGTATGTATCTATCTATTTTGAGACAGGGTCTTCCTCTTTTGCCCAAGTTGGAGTGCAGTGGCACCCATCATAGCTTGCTGCATTCTCATACTCCTGGGCTCAAGCAGTCCTCTCACCTCAGCCTCCGGAGTAGCTGGGACTACAGGCGTGCACCAGCACTGCTGGCTGATTTTTAAAATTTTTTTGTAGAGACGGAGGTTCTCACTGCATTGCCCAAACTGATCTTGAACTCCTGGGCTCAAACAGTCCTTCTGCCTCAACCTCCCAACATGATGGAATTACAGGTATAATCCAGTTCACCTGGCCACTGAATACATTTTGATGAGAAAATAGGTAGATAAATTGGTGAATTCACCAATTTATTTTTACCAATTTAGTGAAGATTCACGAAGCTGGGTGCAGTGGCTCACGCCTGTAATCCCAGCACTTTGGGAGGCCGAGGCTGGCAGATCACTTGAGGTCAGGAGTTTGAGACCAGCCTGGCCAACATGGTGAAACCCCATCTCTATTTAAAAATACAAAAATTAGGCCGGGTGCAGTGGCTCAAGCCTGTAATTCCAGCACTTTGGGAGGCCGAGACGGGCGGATCATGAGGGCAGGAGATCAAGACCATCCTGGCTAACATGGTGAAACCCCGTCTCTACTAAAAATACAAAAAACTAGCCGGGCGAGGTGGCGGGCGCCTGTAGTCCCAGCTACTCGGGAGGCTGAGGCAGGAGAATGGCAGGAACCCGGGAGGCGGAGCTTGCAGTGAGCTGAGATCCGGCCACTGCACTCCAGCCTGGGCGACAGAGCAAGACTCTATCTCAAAAACAAAACAAAACAAAACAAAACCAAAAAAATTAGCTGAGTGTGGTGGCACATGCCTGTACTCCCACCTCCTCAGGAGGTTGAGGTGGGATAATTGCTTGAACCTGGGAGGCAGAGGTTGCAGTGACCCAAGACCCTGCCACTGCACTCCAGCCTGGGCGACCAAGCAAGACTCCATCAAAAAAAAAAAAAAAAAAAGACACGGGCCTGGTGGCTCACGTCTGTAGTCCCAACACTTTGGGAGTCCAAGGTGGGCGGATCACGAGGTCCGGAGATCGAGACCATCCTGGCTAACATGAAACTCCGTTTCTACTAAAAAATACAAAAAACTAGCTGGGTGTGGTGGTGGGCACCTGTAGTCCCCGCTACTCGGGAAGCTGAGGCAGGAGAATGGCTTGAACTCGGGAGGCGGAGCTTGCAGTGGGCCGAGATTGCACCACTGCACTCCCGCCTGGGCAACTGAGAGCCAGACTCCATCTCAAAAAAAAAAAAAAGATGGTAAAAAATCCTTCATTTAGTACTTAATTATATTTGATCTGCAGGATAGGTATGAGCTTGTGAGTATTCTCTCTTAGTGTAATAACAGAAGATGGGATTAATTTTCCCAGTGACCAATTGTGAGAACACATGTGAAATGCTTCCTAGAGTGTTTCTGGGGGCTCATCAGGTGGGCAGTATGGGTTACTACGCGTGTAACAAAATCTCAAACTCTCGGAAGGTGGGAGACCAGAAATTTTCGTATTTTTTCCATAAAAAGTTTAGGCACTAAGCTACTCTTATATAGGTCATTGGGCTCCTTCCCCAAATCCATTTGCCAGATACCAGGGATGGATGTGATGCAGGACAGGTGTGCCCTAAAGTTGGGGCTTATCCCAGGATGGTTTCTGGCTTTGCCCAGGGAAGAATTCAAGGGCAGGCCAATGGTGTTAGATAGCAGTCCTTTATTTAACAGTACTGGTCTTTGTGGATCAGTGCTAACTCATAGGCAGTACACCCAGAGTCAGCAACATATGGGCTCTTGGCAACTATGTTTATACCCACTTTCAGTTATATGCAAATTAAGGGGTGGGTTATTTAAAACTTTCTAAGGAAGGAGTGATAACTTTCAGGTCATTGCCATGGCATTTGTAAACTGTCATAGCATTGGTGGGAGTGTTTTATGCTAATGAGCAGCGAGAGCCTCTAGAGATCTCCATTCTCGTCATCTGGTTTTGGCCACTTTCTTTACTTTAACCTGCCTGCGCCAGATCCTGTTTTGGTCAGTAGGGTTGTGATCAGAAAACAAGTCCTGTTGGTCTCCTACCTCAGATGAACGTCATCAGGAGTGAGGAGCCTTTTTTTTAAGGGTAAGCAGTCTCAGGACTGCTAGTATAAACTCTTTTCCTCAGTAGGTGGTAGGACTTTGTTATGACAGGTTCTCCAGGTCCACTGTACGAGCAGACATTAGATGTGACTCAGGCAGCATGTATTACTCCTTGGAACCACCACCAAGAAAGGTATCAGACACTGCTATTGCTCTACCCAATAGTTCAATACTAGTATGAGAGTTGCTGTGTGGAAGGAAGTGAGTATGCTGACCAAACAGTGGAGTAAATGTTTGGAGACCCCTGAAACGTGAACTTCTTATGAATTGAGTAAAGTTCCCCAGCCCTGTCTGTCTCACCCATTCTCCTCTCCACATGTGTGGGATGTTTCAGGACTCGGTGGCCTTTGAGGATGTAGATGTGAACTTCACCCAGGAGGAGTGGGCTTTGCTGGATCCTTCCCAGAAGAATCTCTACAGAGATGTGATGTGGGAAACCATGAGGAATCTGGCCTCTATAGGTAAGGATTATATACTTCCATCACTTAGTCAATTAGAGAAGAAGTGTTTCTTGTGCAGTGACGCTGTTCCGTGGTTTGTATCATGGAGGAAGAATACTTGGGGGGCTAAAACAGGCATAGTCACAGGGTAACATGAACCTAGAATCTAATAATTTTTCTATAATTTTGCACTAATTCAGAATATTTCTGGGTCTCTGTTTTAGGGAAAAAATGGAAGGACAAGAACATTAAAGATCACTACAAACACCGAAGGAGAAATCTAAGGTAATCTGTACTCAGAGAAAGCAAATTCCCTTGAAAGTATCTCAGCATGTCATGAAATTTTAAAAACAGGCAAACATAACTGATAAGCCAAGCTTCAAATTGATTTATTTTTAGAATAGTTTCCCCAAATACATATTCTTCAGTGTAAACAGATGTTCAGTTTTTATAAAAACGTTCATTTGGCAAGAGAATTAAGAAAGTCTATTTAGGAGTATCACTGTTTGAGTGATAGTTGTGGCCAAGCCCATTGCAGAGCATTGAATCCATTCATACTCAAATCAGACTTGGCATCAAGTCTACACTTTACCTGATAATATTGAAAATGCAAGTTTAATAGCTATTAATATAAAACGGTTAACAAATCCTTAGTAACGTCCTTCTCATTTTTTACAGAAGTCATATGTTAGAAAGATTCTATCAAAGTAAAGATGGTAGTCAGCGTGGAGGAATTTTTAGCCAGTTTGCAAATCAGAATCTGAGCAAGAAAATTCCTGGAGTGAAACTCTGTGAAAGCTTTGTATATGGAGAAGTCAGCATGGGTCACTCATCCCTTAACAGACACATCAGAGATCACAGTGGACATGAACCAAAGGAGTATCAGGAATATGGAGAGAAGCCAGATACACGTAACCAATGTTGGAAACCCTTCAGTTCTCACCACTCCTTTCGAACACATGAGATAATTCACACTGGAGAGAAACTCTATGATTGTAAGGAATGTGGAAAAACCTTCTTTTCTCTCAAAAGAATTAGAAGACACATTATCACACACAGTGGATATACACCATATAAATGTAAGGTGTGTGGGAAAGCATTTGATTATCCCAGTAGATTTCGAACACATGAAAGAAGTCACACTGGAGAGAAACCCTATGAATGTAAGGAATGTGGAAAAGCCTTCACTTGTATCACAAGTGTTCGAAGACACATGATAAAGCACACGGGAGATGGGCCTTATAAATGTCAGGTATGTGGGAAACCCTTTCATTCTCTGAGTTCATTTCAAGTACATGAAAGAATTCACACTGGAGAGAAGCCCTTTAAATGTAAGCAATGTGGTAAAGCCTTCAGTTGTTCCCCAACCTTAAGAATACATGAAAGAACCCATACTGGAGAGAAACCTTATGAATGCAAGCAGTGTGGGAAGGCCTTCAGTTATCTCCCCTCCCTTCGACTACATGAAAGAATTCACACTGGCGAGAAGCCCTTTGTATGTAAACAATGTGGTAAAGCCTTTAGATCCGCCAGTACTTTTCAAATACATGAAAGGACTCACACTGGAGAAAAACCCTATGAATGTAAGGAATGTGGGGAAGCATTCAGCTGCATCCCCAGTATGCGAAGACACATGATAAAGCATACTGGAGAAGGACCTTACAAATGTAAGGTATGTGGGAAACCCTTTCATTCTCTGAGTCCATTTCGAATACATGAAAGAACTCACACTGGAGAGAAACCCTATGTATGTAAACATTGTGGTAAAGCTTTCGTTTCTTCGACATCAATTCGAATACATGAAAGAACTCATACTGGAGAGAAACCCTATGAGTGTAAGCAATGTGGGAAAGCCTTCAGTTATCTCAACTCCTTTCGAACACATGAAATGATTCACACTGGTGAGAAACCCTTTGAATGTAAGCGATGTGGTAAAGCCTTTAGATCTTCTAGTTCCTTTCGACTACATGAAAGGACTCACACTGGACAGAAACCCTATCATTGTAAGGAATGTGGGAAAGCCTATTCTTGCCGTGCCAGCTTTCAGAGACACATGTTAACACACGCTGAAGATGGACCACCTTATAAATGCATGTGGGAAAGCCTTTAATGCTCTGGGTTCATGTCAGATACATTAAAATACTCACTGAAGAGAAGCCCTATGAATGTAAGTAATGTGGGAAAGCATGAAATTCTGTTGGTGCCTTTTTTAATACATGAAAGAATTCTGGAGAGAAGCCATATAAATGTAAGTAACATGGGAAAGCTTTCAATCATTTTAGTTCCTTTCAAATACAGGAAATAACTCATCACGGAGAAGACCGAACAAATGCTTTTTGGAAGGGAACCTGTATTTGAGAGAAATCCTGTGTAAAGAGTGTAGGAAAGGTTTTATCATCATACAATCCTGTCACACATTGAATGCATAGTGGAGAGAACCCTGGTAAATGTAAAGAGTGTGGGAGAGCCTTTAGTCATTTTAGTTCCACTTGAAGCCATGAAAGAACACACAGAGGAGAGAAAGCTCTTGAATATAAGCAATGTCCAAACGTTTTTAACCAGCCTACATTTTCAACAACATGTAAGAATGCACTCTGGATCAAAACACTATAAATGTGAAAACCACGAGGAAGGTTTTCCATTGTAATATACTTTTAAAGTCATTTGAGGGCTCTGTGGCTTCGTGGATTAAAGTACTTGTCTGGCAAACAGGAGATGCTGGGTTTCAATCCCAGCAGGGCCTCATTAGTTGAGGTATTGAATTTGAACAGGTGTTTCGGCTCTGGCTGGGTGTGGTGGCTCACACCTGTAATCCCAGCACTTTGGGAGGCTGAGGCAGGAGGATCACTTGAGGTCAGGAGTTTGGGATGGAGTTTCAAGTGTGCAAAACATAGCAAGACCTCATCTCAAAAAAAAAAAAAAAAAGTCATTCAAAGACTTATAATATAGCAAAATCCTATAAATGTAAGTACTTCAAAAAGCCTAATGCATAGCAGGTCATGTAGTCTCTAGAAAATACATAATAACCTGATGGAAATGTAGAAGCTATATGTATATTTTGTTAATTAGTGGCTCATATTTAAAATAGTTCTCTATGGATTTCAAATGCTTAATCTCACAAATAAATGTTAAGTTGATATAATCCTGTAAGTAATCTGAAAGCAATAGTGCATGAATTTCATAGGTAGTGTTGTTTTAGGTCAGTAATTAAAATATTTGTCTTTCCATTTTGAAATGTGTTTAATCCAACGATGAATTTAAATGTGTTTCTTATATTCAGGTCTGTTAAATTGTATATGGTTGCTTAATTGTTCTGTGATTGAGGACCACTGAAAAATAAGTCTTAATAAATGTTAGTATGAACCTACTTGCTTCATTTAGCAGGTTCTTGATTCCCTTCCCACATTATATATATTCCATCATATTTATTAGAACAACTCCTTTTTTTTCCTTTTTTCTTCTTTTTTCTTTTTGAGACAGGGTCTCGCTCTGTGCTCTGTTGCCCAAGCTGGAGTACAGTGGTGTGATCTCGGCTCACTGCAACCTCTGCCTTCTGGGTTCAAGTGATTATCCCACCTCAGCCTTCTAAGAAGCTGGGACTACAGGCATGTGCCACCACACCTGGCTAATTTTTTGTGTTTTTAGTAGAGATGGGGTTTCACCATGTTGGCCAGGCTGGTCTTAAACTCCTGACCTCAAGTGATCCACCTGCGTCAGCCTCCTAAAGTGCTGGGATTACATGTGTGAGCCATCACACTTAGCCCATTTTTTTTTTTCTTGGCTCAAAGAATTTTATTTTCGTTCCTATTAAAGAGTTGGCATTCATTCTAAATATGTAAAGTTTATCATAGACTGTAGTCTCGTGAATTATTATTTTAACCTGTTGTTCTTTACTCCTTGTTATTTATTCTGGCTGTTCTTTGTATAATTGATTTTGGGATAAGGAGACAGCTATGATAGGATAATAAAATCTAGAATGGGAGATGCCTTTCATGAATTGTGTCATGTCAATCTGGGTAATGGGAACTAAACTTTTCAGACTTCATTTCTTTCTTTTTTTCTTTCTTTCTTTCTGAAATGGGGTCTCACTCTGTCACCCAGGCTGGAGTGCAATGGCACAATTGTGGCTCACTGTAACCTCAAACTCTTGAGCTCAGATAGTCTTCCAACCTCAGCCTCCCAAATGGCTGGAACTATAGGTATGTGCCACCAAGCCCAGCTAATGTTTTTGTTTTTGGTTTTTAATCTTTTTTAAGTAGAGATGGTGTCTTGCTGTGTTGCCCAGACTGGTCTCAAACTCCTGGCCTCAAGTCACCCTCTAGCCTCAGCTTCTTAAAGCACTAGGATTACAGGCATAAGCCACTGTGCCTGGCCCAGAATTTCTTTCTTTTATGGTTACATGTAGAGTGCATCAAAGCCTAAATTCCCGGAAGGTTAGATTGCAGAATTGAAGAAGGCATTAGTCAGATTTTGGAGGCATCATACGGAGAGACAGATTCATATGGGCTGTTTGGACATGGTCATCTAGCCCATTTTCCTGATTCTTTGCCCTGCCAATCAAGAGTATCCTCAGCCGGATGTGGTGGCTCACACCTGTAATTCTAGCACTTTGGGAGGCCAAAGCGGGCGGATCACCTGAGATCAGGAGTTTGAGACTAGCGTGGTCAACATGGTGAAACCCTGTCTCTACTAAAAATACAAAAATAGCTGGGTGTGGTATCGCATGCTTATAGTCCCAGCTGAGGCAGAAGAATTGCTTGAGCCGGGGAGGTGAAGGTTGCAGTGAGCCAAGATCACGCCACTGCACTCCAACCTGGGTGACAAGAGTACAGAATGAGACCCTGTCTCAAAAAAAAAAAAAAAAAGTATTCTCTAATCCACCACCAGCCACTTCACCTCCATGTTCTCAAAGTTATAGATTTCCATAGACGTTCTTACAAGCTTCATATCCAAGATTCAGCTGCCATTTGGATATCCCTGAAAGCCCTAATGTATCTGCCAGGTAATCAGTTTATATTGTCATTGTTGGGAATAGTCTGATGATCTGACTTGGTTCCTGTACGGTCCAGTTTGTACATAAACATTTTTGTCCATAGGGATAGTGAGTGTTACTGATGCAGGTTGAGATCTACAATGGCACTATCCAAAAACAAAACCAAAAACCCTACATGAAGCTTGTTCCTCTGCCGCATTATGCAGAGATGGGTCTCACCCCATTCTTTCATGTGAGAATAAGCACCTTATTCATTACAGAAACATTGTGGGTGTGTCCTGTTATAGCTGAATGTAGTCCCTCAGTTTATTTTGAATTATGTTTGATTATATGTGATTACAAACAATATATATGTCTTCCTCAAACGAAAGTTCTCACACATTTCTTAGAAATATTAACAGTGTGCAAACAACTTGCTTACTGTCTAGTGAGTTTTGTATTTATTGAGAATATATATTAAAATACCCATTCCAATCATGGATCATATAAACTTTATAATTAAGCTCTTTGTCCAACATTGTGAGTCAACATTACTGTGAGCTTACAACTTCAGGCCTCTTTTTTCTCATAAATTTTAGTTTTCATGCTTATTTGATTACAACTTTTATGATGATAGTAGTTTTTCATATGCATAATACCAAAAGTCAAATCATGTTGTGAGTGATTTCTTTCCAACGACTATCAGGAACGTACCTGTTGTCAAACAGGATGTAATAAATTGTGGTAATACTACCACAGGCCGGGCACGGTGGCTCACACCTGTAATACCAGCATTTTGGGCGGCCGATGCAGGCAGATCACTTGAGACCAGGAATTGGAGACCAGCCTGGACAACATAGCAACAACCTGTCTCTACTAAAAATACAAAAATTAGCCTGGTGTGGTGGCGCACATCTGTAATCCCAGCTACTTGGGAGTGGAGGTTGCAGTGAGCCCAGCGCACCACTGTACTCCAGCCTGGGCAACAGAGTGAGACTGTCTCAAAAAAAAAAAAAAAAAAAAAAAATACCACCACAAAACAGTAATGACTGTGAGGTGTATCAATAAGAGGGTAGTTAAAAGAATTTATTGCAGAATTTATGCTGCTTTTAGGTTGTTTGACTCCTACTTAAGGAAGCAAAAAATTTCTCTGATGGAGTGAAGAGGTGAACTTAATTCTACCCTGGGTAATTTTTTTTTTTGAGACAGAGTCTCACTCTGTCACCCAGGCTGGAGTGCAGTGGCGCGATCTCGGCTCACTGCAACCTCCACTTCCCCAGTTCAAGTGATTCTCCTGCCGCAGCCTCCAGTGACAGGACAAGACTTTGTCTCAAAAAAACCCCAAAAAACCGCAACAAAAAAACCTTTCAGAATACTTCCTGAAGGATTTGCCAGAGCCTGTTTTACAGCTAACTCTTTTTCTGGAGGTGGAGGGGACATGGTCTTGCTCTGGAGTAGCTTGGATTACAGGTATGTGCCACCACACCTGGCTAATTTTTGTATTTTGGGTCAAGATGGGTTTTGCCATGTTGGCCAGGCTGGTCTCAAACTCCTAGGGTGAAGTGATCGGCCCACCTCGGCCTTCCAAAGTGCTGGGATTACAGGAGTGAGCCACAGCACCCAGCTGAATATACATTTTTCTAAGGAAGATAAACAACTGAGCAAGGGGACCTGAAAAGATGCTGGACATCATTAAGTAAATGCTAAACAAAAAGGCAGTGAAATGCCACTTCAAACCCACTAGGATGGGTAGAATGAAAAAGACAGATAACACATGTCAAGGATATGGAGAATTTGGAACCCTCATACACTGCTGGTGAGAATGGAAAATAGAGCAGCCACTTTGTTTTTTTGTTTGTGGTTTTTAATGTTTTCTTTTTTAAGAGATGGGGTTTTGCTCTGTAGCCCAGGCTGTCATGGCTCACTGCACTCTCAAACTTCTGGATTCAAGCAGTCCTCCCATCTCAGCCACCCGAGTAGCTGAGAACACAGGTGTGTACCACCATGCCCAATTAATTTTTTTTTTTTTTTTCAGAGATGGGGTTTTGCTCTTTTGTCAGGGCTGGTCATGAACTTCTGGGCTCAAGCTATCCTCCTGCCTTGGCCTCCCAAAATGCTGGGATTATAGGCATGAGCCACCGTGCCCTGCCAGGAGTTTCTTTTTTGAGGTAATGAAAATGTTCTAGGCCAGGTACGGTGGCTCATGCCTGTAATCCCAGCACTTTGGGAGACTGAGGCAGGCAACTCACTTGAGGTCAGGAGTTCAAGACCAGCCTGGTCAACATGGTGAACCCCCCGTCTCCACTAAAAATAGAAAAATCAACCGGGCATGGTGGTGTGCACCTGTAATCCCAGCTACTCTGGAGGCTGAGGCAGGAGAATCGCTTGAACCCGAGAAGCAGAGGTTGTAGTGACCCGAGATCGCACCATTGCATTCTGCACTCCAGCCTGGGCGACAGAGTAGACTCCATCTCAAAAAAAAAAAAAGAAAAAAATCTTCTATAATTGACTGTGGTGACGACTATCTGTTTGCGTCTTTGAATATACTTTACTGAATTGTACGCTTAAAAGGGGTGCATTGTGTCGTGTTTTATTTTTATATAGCTTTTCAAATAAATATGACTTCAGATTTTTGATCTAATCTGTTAAACATACTAAGAGTTTCCAGATATACCCTAATTTACATCACTTTTTATTGTTCATTTTTGTATCAGTGAAAATAGGAATTCAATTACCTTAGGTATATCATAGTTGTTTACATTTCAAAGTTCTCTGGGAACACAATCTGTAACCTATCTAAAATAATTTTTCCTTTAGTGTGAAATGTACACTTCAGAGTTTAATTGAAATATCTCACAGCTGTGGTTAGTCTGATACGCGTCCTTGCATCCATGCTAGGGATGTGGAGTTCAAAGAGATTGTAAATGTGTGGGGATTGGGGAAGAGATGGGTGGAGGTCTCAATGCCGTTAGCCGTCAATATCAGAATGGAGCTAGACTCTTATTATACACGGTGAGGTCATTTTTAAGTGTCTGTGTTTGTGAACGGGGCTCACAGTTCCACCAGTGCCCTCTAGACTCAGGCCAAGTCCCTGGCCCCTAGAGGAGTCAGACCCTCTTGTTCCAATCTGGACTTGCCTGGGTGACCCTCTTGCTGTGGACTTGTTCCTTAAAGGGTCAGTACATCTGGCAACTGAGGCTAGAATTCGCTGCTCAAACTTGTGTCCCCGCGTTCAGAAACAGCTGCGACAGGATGCCAGAGTCCATCGAGAGGCTGGGAACAAGTTCGGCTTCTACGCGACTGCCCCTGCCTGGGACTGGTTTCCTCCCGGACTGAAGCAGGGTTTCCCCAGCGACATGACCTTTCGCAGCTCTGTCACCCCAGGTGAAGAGGGC